AAACAAACAATGACAACAATTTAACAACAGTGTCCCCTAGATCCTCTCTAAAGGTTCATTAGAGTTAACACTAATTCATATGGATTAGTCAGAGAGAATGTGTTAATCAACAGTCAATAACTATTCTATAAATAGACAAAATCCATATCTGCACTTTTCATAGTATAGGTTCTTTATATTTTATTTTTCTCCTTATGTCTTTCCCTCCCTGCCCAATGAACAGTGTGTATGTGTGGTATGTGCCTGTGTTTTGAAACAATCCTTGTTTAGATATTTCTCATCTAAAGATCTGTTTCAAGCTTATTTCACTTCTGATGGACAGCTTTATTCTGACATTCAATTTTATCTGAGCAGATTTACTATTCAGTTTACATCTAAAATTAATATGTTTAAAATCTGAAAATTTAACAGATGGTTCTTTAATGTTATTTATAATTAGAAATTTCATGAAAAGGAATGTTCTTTTTGGCTTTGCTGTAAAAGCAAATAATTTTACTTCAGAACTTTCACTCAGAGAAGAACCATGGTAAGACCAATCAGAACCATACTTCAATAGATTTTTCTTCTAAAACAGGAAGCATAATTTCTTTTGAGGGGTCCTTGGTGCTCTCTGAGCTTGTTTGTTTTCTTGCAGATATTTCATTCTCCAAACTAGGTAACATCATCAGTGCTAATATGGAGTGCAGTTACTAGCACTAATGATGTTGTCTAGTTTGGATAATGAAATGTCTGCAAGAAAACAAGCAAGCTCAGAGAGCATCAAGGATCCTTCAGGTCAACCCTGAGCTACAAATATTCTCCTTTATTAATAATTTTTGGGGATAGAATTTGGTGTCTATATTACCCTCCTGATCTATTTTAAAAAGGAGTTCAAGTTTTTTTTTTAAATTCATTAAGCATGCGACTAGAAAACGGAGCTCCTGGTGTCCCTGGGAGGACTTAATGAATTAACTCCTCCTAGAGACATTGTATATTACAAATTCAGTACTCTGATTATCTACTATTGCAAAGAGAGAAATAAATAGGATTCTACTTTGCTGATTTGTTTCATTATCTGCCTGTCTGCAACTTAAGCCGGTTCCTACATTAGAGATGGGCCATCTATCATACAACGAGTGCCTTGATGGCCAGATATTGAATACGAATAGACTGAATGTCTCAGAAATCCATTAGGACCATCAACTAACTTTACTATTTTAAATTCAGTGGCATAAAGTTCATTATTAATGTTTGTATTTCCATAATTCTTGATGTTAGAACATAAAAAGAAAAGACCTTGTGGACCAGACAAAGGCCCCATCTAGACCAGTATTCAGTTACACAATCACCAGCCACTACTCTTGGGACATACACAAGTACAGAAGACAAGTTGTTTTCCACTTGTTGGTTCCCAGCAACTGTTTCTTATAGTGCAGGGTCTTCAAACATGGCCCATTTATTACTTGTGGACTTCAACTCCCAGAATTCCTTAGCCAGCATGCCTGGCTGAGGAATTCTGGGAGTTGAAGTCCACAAGTCATAAAAGGGCCAAGTTTGAAGACCCCTATTATAGTGCTTCCTCTGATTCAGGGTGTAACATAAACCCATCAAAACAAGTCACTATTGATTGCATAGCTCTTCTCAAAACCATCTAAATGGATGGTCATCACCAGATTTCAAAGCAACAAACTCCATACTTCAACTATCTCTTGTGCAAAAACATTTTCTTGGTCACTTTCAGCTGAACATGAGAGGAAAATTAATATTTCTCTGGCTATATTTTCCAGACTCTGCTTGATTTTACTTAACTCTCTCATGTCAACTCTAATCTGCCATCATTCATACTAAATACACTCAAATGCTGTAACCTTTCTTCTTAGGCAACTGCTCCTAATCATTTGTGTTGCCATTTACTACAACATTTTCAGAACTTCAATGTTTTTTTTTTTTTTTTTTGAGGACAGTGTTCAAAAACGTACATTGCACTCCAAATCCAAAGGCATTTTAGATTAATTTATGAATATTGGTGTAATGTATGTGCAATATTATTTTCAATTTTGTTCCTACCATGGGATTTACAGGTGTTTTTATAGTATGAACACAGTGGATTGATATTTTTTTAATCCTAACGGTAACCCTAACCCATTTTCCAATTAGAATATACTGTATGAGTGCAGAAAAAACACTGTGCCCATTATTTCCCTCCTCTTTCTATTGACTTATCAACTGAGTTTGCTGATACAGGAGATATAAGCAAAAGAAGATATATGGAAGATGGAAAATAACAATAGAGTCACTATTCCAGATACAGGAAATCCTTGACTTACAATGGCAATTTGGACCAGAATTTCCACTGTTACGCAAAGTGGTTGTAAAGCATGACTTCATCTCTGACTGACGCCATTTCCTGCAGTCCCAACTGATTTTAACTGTATCCCATGGTCATTAGGCAAGGCAGCTTCCTGGTTGTACAGAGAGATAGTAATTGCTCCCAAGACATCCAGTAAGTATCCATAATAAACTTGAATCTACTCTACATGCTTTTAGCTTAACATCTTTACAATGACACTACATGAGTTTGTCTTTTGCTGACAACTATTATGATTTAGTTTATTCTAATGCCTGGTAGCCCTATATTTTCACTGATGTACTTGTGGAATGATGGCACAGTCATGCTCCACTAAGCCTGGACATTTTTACTTCTTTATTAACCTGTACCTTATCCAGGCTGCCCTGATATATACTTTTTTTGTTCGCCCTTCTTAACATCAGCTATTTTAAGATGCTCTCATTAAAAATATTGGGAGATTACTTTCTTCTTCTATAAGTTTTGTTCTGTCTTTGTAGAACATTTTAAAAATTTACAGGATGTTGGGAATGATGGGATCTATGAGGCAGGAGAGGTCGCCTGAACATGATCCAATTCAAAGCCTTGAGCACTCTCTTATTCCAAGTGGCAACCAAGGCTTTAGATGGATTGTGCAGTAGACCAGTGGAAGCAACTCCTGGCTTCCTCTGAAACCCATCCAGGTCCATCAGTCCCTAATAGATTCTGTCTCCCTGGAGAATGCATGGCAATCAGAGTGTGACTTACATCCCATTGCCACTGCTCCAATAGGAAAGCCAGATCATTGTTCCTTGTTGGGTTGTGGATGACCTTGGGTAAAGCCATGGCTGTCAAGATAGCCATGAACTCCCAGAAAACCTCAAATCCCACTCTCTGAAAAGACAGATTATAATCCTCCAGGACCATAAATCTGAGGAACACCACTGCCAATACCGAAAGGATATCAAACAGCCCAGGCAAGGAGGCTGCTAGGCAGCAGGGAGCAGCAATGCCAACTGATGCCTAGAGCCCAACTTAATGAACAGGGGTTCATATCCAGAAATGGGTGGAGAATGCCCCTGAAAGTCTGAAAAGGCTCCTGGATAACAATTGCCACCCCTCAATTGTTCTAGAACAATTGTTGCAATTGTTCTATATAATACAGTTCCTCTACCTACTGACTCTATTTCATATATCTTCATGTAAGATCTATTTTTGCATCTTTAATTCATCCCCATTAGCTTAGATCAGTGGTTCTCAACCTGTGGGTCGGGACCCCATTTGGGGTCGAACGACCATTTCACAGGGGTCGCCAAACAAGGCTGTCCGCCATTTTTTCCCCCTTTTCTTTGGCCATGTCCCTGGCACCCGGTGATGTATAAGTGGTTGGGGGTCACCACAACATGGGGAACTGTATTATGGGGTCACGGCATTAGAAAGGTTGAGAACCACTGGCTTAGATAATCTCATCTAGGTTTCAACATACTCTTTCATTTGGAAATACATTTTAAAATGTTCTTATCAATTAAATTGGATATTTTCCCCAGGTAATTAATAACCTCTGGACAATAATTAAAATTGTCCCCTTAGGAACCTTCTTACAAATGGTATAAGATTTTATTTATCGCAGTAACTGCTTTTTCTAGGATATTTATCACATGGCTTCTGAAAATGTAGGTAAAGACTGTTGATTTCAAACACTTTATGAAAATAAAATTCTACCTGCTAAAATATTTGTATTACCAGGTTGGCAGGAATACTTCAGAAGGTATTTCCCAAAATAATACATCCTGCACAGTGGTTTCCTGAAGGGCACCCAAATTTCGGACAATATAAGACTTCTGGTTAATATCATCACTTTATATGTTGGTTCACATGAACCTGCAGCTGGTTCCATTGGATGAAGAAAAAAGTTTTGATATGATTCAAATCAAGATTAAAATAATAAACTGTAATTCAAGAAATAAATTCTTTAGAAAATCTAAAGTTCTACAACAAATGAATGAAAAAAAATATTTCTTGAATTACAATTTATTATTTCAATCTTTCTGTTTGCATAGTTATTAATGGGATTATTTCACCAGTTCTTAAAATGCAACATGGAACAAATCAAGGTTGTCTTTTACTTCCTTTAATTTTCAATTTACTGCTGGAATTCTTGGAATAAGACAAACTTATTAAATAAAAGGAATATCTTCAGCTGAATTTGAATACAAATTGTTTATATACAGATAATAGATTTTTTTTAATGTAGTGACTTGTAGTCTATGCATATAATTATATTAAATTATATCAAATAATAAACAATATACATGTTTAACACTGACATCTGAATTAACAATCTGTTTTTCTAATCCGTGCTGCTAAATAATCTCTATTGTGTCTTGATTTAATTAGATTAAACTAAGTTCTTGTTCTTGCAACCAAACTCTCTGATCTTATGTAGCTGCTTTATCATGCTGGCCTCCAGTACTATAACTACTTGAGAGGTGTCTCTACCTCATTTTTGGCAAGGCTGAAAAAGTCAGGTGAACTTTGGTGGTTTTCAACACCACATGCAGTAAATCAGTGATCCCTAACCTTTCTGGCACCAGGGTTTTGTGGAAGACAATTTTTCCATGGACCTGGGAGGGGGTGGTGGTTTCACATGCAATCTAGATCCCACGCATGTGCAGATAAAGCTTCACTCACTCACCTGCTGCTTGTGCGGCCCAGTTCTGAACAGGCTGCAGCCCGGTACCGATCCACGGTCCAGAGGTTGGGGACCCTTGCAGTAAATAATAGATCCAGCTTGGAAGTCTCCAGGCAGTTTCACAATAGTGCTCAAAAAAGGTCAGGAAAAGAAAAAAGCTCATTATGGCATATTTGGCAACATTAAGACTCATCCGGTGCAACCAATCCTGACAAATGACACCCATGGGTGCTGAAATGATTTCTTAGAGAAAAAAAAATAGACAATTTGCAAGCTGCAGTTAGATATTGGAAATAAAATTGCTGTGTTGCTTTATAATGATTAGGTCTCCAATAGAAGACAGCATGGAATATTTAATAATGCATATCACAAAAGATTTGCAATGCGTGAAATAAGGAGGACTTGGGCATTATTAGAAGCTAGTATATGAAAGGATTTTTATATGTTAAGACATTTATCTCTTAGCTAAACCCTCAAGCCCTTGACTAAAATCACTTTTGATGGGGGGGGGGCAAAATGTGGCACAAAGGACAAGAATTTGGTTGAAGAGCATTCTGGCAAATTCTTTATGTAAATGTTCAAAAAGATTAAGTAAAGATTTAGACAAAGATAATTCTGTTTACAACTGCATCTTGATTTGTAGGACAGTTTTAACAGCTTTGCAGGAAGGAATATGAAGCAGCTTTGTTGATTTTCTAGATTATATTTTGTACTCTTTCATGTTGTGGCACTTTTCCATGGTTATAATTATTTGTTTTTCACCTCATACATTTTCTGAAATATATCACAAGTTTTTAAACAGAATTGACATAATGTTACTTTTTTTAAAAAAGGGTGTGGTCCAGCACTAAGAAATGTCAATATATTTTAATAATTCAATTTTTTTTATTAAATTGCATTTTTATTATTCAGATTCCCCCTGGTCTTTATTCAGGTGTGTCTGTTTATCATCAATGTTCCATAGGTGCTTTTCCAAAAGCAACTGCATTTTCTCATGCACACAATATACATTATAAGCAATATATAGATATCTCTATAGATTGCTTATAAATAACAAGGACATACAACTGAGAAACTATATAGATTTTGTTACATTATCTTACAGAATCTTCTGAAATGCAGAATTTTAGACTTATAAGGAACGTCGTGACATTATAGTACAGTTATAGAGCATTTGCTGTTGCACATCCTTCACATTTATCAAATTATCTAGTATTATTCTTTTTATGACAACAGAGATTCACCAAACATTTTATTGGATCACTACCTTCACTCAAATGTTTATTTATACACATCAACCTAATGTGACTGATTCTGAATGATATAAACAAACAGATCAAGATAGAATATGTCAACATATAAAATAATCCCACATCACAACTAAACCATTTCTAAGTGGCCAATCCCTATAATCTCCTCTGTAGAAGAAAATTCCTATTGTTGTCTACAGTATAATCATGCTAGGTGTGATTGCTATGCATTTCATCATTATTGCAGGTAGCCACGCCATGACTCCTCTGCTGCTGGACTGTATCAGTTAAGATTATTAGGAAGGGAAAAGGATGATAGCCACATGACAGAACACAAAATAGTAAGATCTCTAGTATCTTCATTTGAAATGGCAACAAAGCTGCTACCGGTCAGATCAAAGGATTCTAAGATAAATAAATAAATATTTGACTAGATGTAAAACAAATTCTGAGACATTAGATGGACTTAAAAACCAGTCTAACTTAATATATGTTTCTATCCTGTTAGGGAGAAGATGGACAAAAAGCATCAGTGGTCAGTTTCAGCCAGTTCGCACCAGTTCAGCAGAACCGGTAGCTAATTTTTTGTTGCCCAGGCCCAGAATGGACTTCCAGAAGCGGCATCCACACAGAGAACCAGCTGTTCACATATTTGAATACCACCACCAAAAAGCAGCATATCATATTGCTTGGTTTGGTAATAAAACTAGAAAACTGTTGCATCTTGTACAATGTTCTTGCTGATTAAAATGACTCTTCATTTATGGACCCTAAATAACTACCGTATATGCCGGCGTATAAGGCGACCCGGCATATAAGACGACCCCCGTCTTCGGCGCCAAGTTGCATGCCTAGAAAGTCGTCTTATACACCGGAAACTACCAGTATTTCCAGCGTATAAGACGACTCGGCGTATAAGACGACCCCCGACTTCGGCGCCGATTTTAACCCTTGCGAAAGTCATTTTATACGCCGGAATATATGGTAGTCACTCTATTACACTTTGCTCAGTTAATTTAATTTGATTATTCATGACATCTATTTTGTAGAAGGATTTCTAAACCTGCTTTTCCACCTGTGGGCTCTGATCTTGGACTTTCTCTTATATATTTTCTCTCCTTATTTCTCTCCTTCTACTTGACACGAATAACTGCCACATGATTTTTTTCAATAATTAAAAAACATGCCAGTGTTGTCATTTGTCAAAGAAACTGCTTATTTTTCTAGACACTAATTTATTTATTTATTCATTCATTCATTTATTTATTTATTTACTTATTTATTTATTATTTTATAATACTTTCAACATTCGCTGCTAGATAAAGTCTTCATAAAAAGCATAATAAATTAGGCAAATGCCATTTGAAGTTTAAGGTTTGGAGTGAATAATGCAGAAGACAAAAAACAACAACAGATACATAGAAGAATGAATACATAACAACAGTATTTTCCAAACAATTGCCTGAGTTTTCTCTCTTCTAATGAGATTGTATTTTCGAAAGCACTTTTGAAGAGCACATCACTAATGTCTAAACTGTTCAGCCCTTAAGTAAGTGTGCATTTAAATAACACTTATGCATAGGCACACACAATCTTTTGAAATTCCTGAACCCACTGAGCAAATTCAGTGGGGATTTTAATTAACTATTAAGTACTGCACTATTCACAACAAAGTAGTTGCTCCACTCTGTAGGAAAACATTCAGTAAAACATATTGGAAGATGAGAGGAGAAAAACAAAGCGTAAAAGCCATTATAGGAAGGCAATAATTGGAGAGGCATGACAGTATCATAATGGAGACTGCATCCTGTTCTATAGCAGTTCAAGCAAGCAAGCACAAGGACTTTGTCAAGAAATAATACTGAGTGTCTCATGACACAATAATAGGCAATCAAGAAGTCCAACAGTCATTCCAAAGTTAGCAAGCTAGACTAATAGTTCTCAGTTGCAGACCAAGTAGGGCAGGTGAAGAAGTCTTAAGGTCACAGGATAAACAATCACGCAGTAGACAGACTAATGAGGAAACACTGATAGAATACTATTCTACTGAAAACTTAATATGGTAATATTCCTGGCTCTGGCTTCAAGGCTCTACAGTTTCAATTGATATTTAACAAAGTTAAATCATCCAAAGAGGCATAAAAGGATTCACAAATTAACCCTTTAGCTTAAGAAAGTTTACACAACAAATACGCCCTTTAATAATTATGACACTACAGAAGGCTCTTTCAGTATACATCATAAAGAGGAACTAAAGTTTAATTTTCTTAACTATTTTATCACCTCCAAGAAACCTGTAAGTCTGGGAAATATCCCACCCTACTAAGCTAGCTCTAGATTAACCATTGAAAAAATAAGGACATGATTGACGAATAGTGCCTGCGAAGGAGAAGGTGGTGCGATGGACTATAGTGAAGTAGCTGTTTCCTAGGAAGAAGGGAGCACATTCCAAGTAGGAGGCGAGACAAGAGAAAGCACAGCCCAGAAGTGGACTGGAGTCCCAAAGGTGTTTTTTTCAAGAGGCAACTGGACTTTTTTGTTTTTCTTTGAAGATGTTTTGCTTCTCATCCAAGAAGCTTCTTCAGCTCTGACTGGTGGGAATCCCACATTGCGATGCCTCTACTGAGATTAGCCAATGCCAGTTAGATTAATAACTGACTTAAGTAATTTTCTTTCCTTATTTTTTTTTCCATTCTGGATGATTTATTAAATTTTCACAATTCTGGTAACTCTCCTTTAGCTAAAGTGTTATTTGCAATTCTTGAGTTTCTAGGAGTTTGCTTTCCTTTCAGAAGTTTTCCAACCATATTTGTCAGTTGAGGCAATTAACAAACAATAATAGTGCACCTATGATGATAACATAAAAAATCTTGATTATCAATAATAAAAAATAAAATTAAAGCTAAACAAACTTAAATTTCTTGCCCAGTGTGAAAGCAAGCAAGTAAGAATCTCAGGTTTCCAACTCTGAGAAAATGAAATAAATGGGACATGCCCAGAATAAATATCACAGAAAGTGACTATGATTGGTTGGTTATGTACCATCCAAATTCTTTTCAACTCTTAGTGACCACATAAATAGATTTTTTTTCCCCATGGCAATCTGTTCTTTTAAGTCCTTCACTGGTGCAGCCCTCATCAGTACTGTAAATGAGTGCTGCTGATCACCATCCTCTTCTCTTTTCCATCTTTCCTGGCATTAGAGCCTTAGAGAATTGGATCTTTGCATAATGTGCCTGAAGTATCATAACTGGAACCTGATCATTTGTGCCTTGAGGGACAACTATGAGTTGATTTGTTCAATGATTCATCCATTTGTTTTTGTTTTTTCTTGACTATCCATGGTATTCTCAGAGGTCTTCTCCAACACCAAAGTTTAAAGTCATCCATATTCTTCCTACCTTACTTCTTCAAAGTCCAAAGTGACCATGGCTAAAGTAAAAGCCATATTTTTTTTTCAAATCCATCATAAATCAATTTCCTGTTTTATCTAACATTGATAATATTAACATTTAATTTAACTTATTTAATTAAAAACAGAAGCAATTGTTGAGGGAATGTTGCCCCAAAAGCCTCATAAGCCACTATGAGATATGAATGGGATCAGAAATGACACAATGGTGATGTATCATATTTGACAAGTTGGCTATCCCATTTGATATTTTGAGTACATATGAAGGAGCCTATTAAACTGCAAGTAGCAAATCCAATATCACAGAATTTATTCTCTCAAAATCCAGACTGAAATGATTCCCTACTTTCTTTTTACCTTGATACAAACAGAATATTGTTACAGGCTGATAATAGTATCATTTGATACTATTTGATAGTGCAAATGGAATGAGCTGCTTATTACACCAGTCATTATGGAAAATACAGTATCTGCTATTTGACAAAACTGTGAAGGGTTTTTTTCATCGGACTCATAAAGCCAAAGAAATTGATAAGAGGACTATCCCTTTTCTAAAGTTCTGTACCTTTCAGAACTGAAAATTCTAGTTTCTCTAAAAGAGTAGAAGGAATAAAGCAAAAACCTCTTTAAAATGCAGCATAGGGTAAACTGTGGGGCAAAGAATTTCCTATCACTTTCCAACAGAACTGCTTGTGAACATCTAAAGAATAAATGACTGACTCCTTATTCAACATGAAAAAAAGTTTGGACAATAATCTAGACCAGTGGTTCTCAACCTTTTTAATGCTGCGACCCCCAACCGGTCGTAAGTCAAGGACTACTCAACCGGTCATAAGTCGAGGACTACTCAACTGGTGGAGCACCGTTTGCAGACTGGGACTTTTGGCGGGCTCAGCAGGGCAGAGACAGCCTGGACAATTCTTATTGGCTTTTGAAAGCCAATAGAATTAGACTCTATTCAAGAGAGTCTATTCTATTGGCTTTCAAAAGCCAATAGAATAAAAGGGAGTAGCACAGCAAAGGAAAAGGGGGAAAAAAATGGCGGACTGCGTTGTTTGGCGACCCCCGTGAAATGGTCGTTCGACCCCAAATGGGGTCCCGACCCACAGGTTGAGAACCACTGATCTAGACCTAGAATAATTTAATAGGAAGTAGCCTCACTGTCATTATGAGTATTGCATTTCATTTTAGTTGGAAGAGCAGAATACAGTGTATTTAATAATAATAATAATAATAATAATAACAATAATAATATAACAACCACAACAACAACAATAGCTGTTGTCTTAATATGGCTCTCTTTTTGGTATGTATACATATATGTTTAGGTATGTATCTATTTATCTATATCCATATCTATATCTTACAGAATAATCCTTCTCCAGTTTCCTATTGTGGTCTTGATATACTTAACACTGACTTTTAATAGCCCAATGCAGTAGAACATAGAAAACATGTTCAAGATAAACAGTTGTCCATAATCAAACGTTTGCATTTATCCCACTAAGAGTCTATCTTCAAAACACATAAACCTTTTTCTTTTGCACTTTGCACTAGTGGGTACACCACCTATCATTTGCCTAATATATCACTGTATGATATCTTTGTCTATATCTTTTTTCCACAATATGCATGGAGAGAAGAAAGAGAACTTAGTCTTTTTATTTGATTTTAAATTAAACTCTCTAAAGAATTCAGGAACATTTATGTGGTGTATAGTCTAATATTAGCTCATATCTTAGTTGTTGTTGTTGTTTTTTACCATCAGACAATTTTGTTATCTCAAAGCTGAGTTTAATTTGATTTGATAAATAAATAAAAATCTAATCCATAAGGAACAAATACAGAATGAAAATTTGAAAGAGGTTATTGATACCATCAAGTTTAATCTGTGCTGAATACAAGAATCCAAATTAAAGTATTCTTACAGAACATTTCAAGCAAATAGCAATCTATTACCTCTCTGAATAATTGTTGAACTGCTCACTGTTAGGGACCAAAATCTAATATTTAAATGAATGTTGCCTTCGATTGCTATTATTTCATGTCTTGGACTCACAGCTCCTTAAGGTGGGCCAGTCTACGTTAACAGAGGGATAGAATCAAGATCACTTTATAATGCCTTGGTAAGATACCACTTAATGCCATTTTATAATGCCTTGGTAAGGCCACACTTGGAATACTGCATCCAATCACCACAATGTAAAAAAAGATGTTGATACTCTAGAAAGAGTACAGAGAAGAGCAACGAAGATGATTAGAGGACTGGAGGCTAAAACATATAAGGAACAGTTGCTGGAATTGGGTATGTCTAGTTTAATAAAGAGAAGGACTAAGGGTGACATGGTAGCAGTGTTCCAATATCTCATGCCACAAAGAAGAGGGAATCAAGCTATTTTCCAAAGCACCTGAAGGCAGGAACAAGAAGCAACAGATGGAAACTAATCAAGGAGAGAAGCAACCTAGAAGGAAGGAGAAATTTCCTGACAGTTCGAACAGTTAATCAGTGGAACAACCTGCCTTCAGAAGATGTGAATGCTCCAACACTGGAGGTTTGTAAGAAGAGACTGGACAGCGATTTGTCTGAAATGGTCTAGGGTTTCCTGCCTGGTCCAAGGTCCCTCCAAAGTCTCTTCCAACTTTATTATTCTGTTCTGTTAGGCTATGAAATCAGTTCCATAAGAAGATTATTAGGGAAACAGGCTATACTTGCAAGCCTGATTCTTGCAAGCCTGACTGTGCCTCCTTCTGATACTACAGAGAATCAAGAAGATCCTGCTTGAGCTGCTTCTGGATACTATGTTGCTTCCCTGGGCTTAAATAATATTTTAGCCTTCTTTGCTTATACAGTGGTTCTAGCTTTTTTCTGTCAAGGTCATTTCCATTACTCTCTACATGCATTCTGGAAGAGTGAGAGCAGACTTATCTATATGACTTCCTTTCTGGTATTTGAAGAATGCTATCACATCACTCCTGCGCTAGTCTTTTCTCAAGGCTGAATATATCCAATCCTTCAAAATCTCTCCAAAGGGCATAGCTTCTGGTTCTTTTAACGTCATTTTTGCTTTTTCTTAAAATCATTCTTTAAAGTGAGATATCTAGAGCTGAACACAGTACTCTAATTGGGGCAGGGTAGAATGGAATAATTCTACAGATTGGAAGTTTTGCCTCTGTTGACATAGCCTGAAACTGCCTTTGAGCTTCGGAACAGTTTCTGGACCATCATGTGTCAGCTCATATTCAATTTGCAGTCAGTCTTGGAATCCTTCGCTAGCCCTATTTTCTCCTGAGATTTCACTTTCCTGACATCTGTTCTACAGTTTTGGCTTAAACTTATGAACTCCTCCTCCTTTTTACTCTCAGATATATATTCTACTCGCTAAGTATATCTAAATTCTGTTGCATTATATGTAAGATATGCAGTTGATTGACTGATACATTCACTACATACATTAATTTTATAACTTGTACCTTTCAATAAATATTTATCCTTTTAAAAAAATTATTAGGGTTTTTTTTTACCAAAATAAAGATTTTCAGTCAATCAGAACAGAAATGGAAGGGACCTTAGAGGTCTTCTAGTCCAACCCCATGCTCAAGCAGGAAACTCTATACCATTTCAGACAAGTGACTCCTCTGTGACTGGGTGTCAGGGGAAAATTCAATGCACAAAAGAGTTTATTATTGCTACCTCTAATAGAAGAATCTATTCAACTAATAGTCAAAGCTAAACTCATGCTAGATAAGGGTTAATGGATTTCATAGGGGGTTGGGCTTAGGTCTCCTGTGGCAACACAATGACTCCAAACCGATGACACATTTAACCTCACATTCCAGCTCAGACTGTTCTTCTCCTACAGTGGGTCCTCTTTTATTTTCCTGTTTGTGTCAGATTACTAAACCTTTTGTTTTAGCCCCATAGGCTTCTTCTGCTGTCCTTCGTGTTTTCTTCCCATTAGAATTGTTATTACAATTGTTTCTGTTTTTGAGTTGGTCTATGGCTGTAATATAGTCACAAAATGATGACAAGTTTGGCTTGTCATCATAACTAAACTTTTATTATTATTAGGTACTCCCACTCATGTTCAATTCTTTTTCCCTTTAGATGCTCCAGACTGCTATTTATCATTGCTCTGAATTTATTTAAATCTTTTTTTGAAGACAAAGGTGACTGTTTGATTATGCTCAGTTCCAAAATATTTTATATGTTGATGTGAGGTTAAGATTATGCTGAATTATTAAATGTAATTGAACCTAGCTAGGTATCAATTCATGGGAACCAGTATGGGTGCAATGGTTAAGGCTCTAGGCTGGAAATGGATGGTGAATTCTAGGTCCTATTTTAGGCACAAAACCAGCTGGGTGACCTTAGGCCAGTCACTCTTTCTCAGCCCTAGGAAGGAATCAATGGTAGCTACTTTCCAAATCTTGCCAAAAAGACTCCTGCAACTTGTCCAGGCAATCTCCAAGTGTCAAAAACTGACTTTAAGGCAACTCCTTCCCCCCAAATCTATTTATAAAAGTTGCTTAAATGTTTTACATTTTCCTCGGCTGACAATAAATTTCTTTGGAGTAATGTTTATGTATGCATCAAGCTCCAAAATAGTCCATTTTACAGTATGAATGACAGAGTTTTCTTAATAAGATTCATGGAAGTGAAAGGGAAAGGAGTTCAAGAATTTCAGCAACTGAGCTGTTTTGCATTTAGAACTAATTTATCTTCTAAAACATTAGGGTGAATTTCTTTCTAATGGCTTTTCTGTGAACTGATAATACTGGAGATAGTGAATGAACTTGTAGGAGTCTATTTACAAAATCATCTCCTGAAATCTTATTGGTCTGAGAACTAATATTTCCAGTTTGTGAGTGAGGAGTGAATGTGCATCTCTCTCTCTCTCTCTCTCTCTCTCTCTCCCTCCTTCCCTCCCTCCCTCACTCCCTCCATCTGTCTCTCTCTCTCTGTGTGTTTAAGATATCGTCTACTCAGTCAAAGTTGAAAACCATAAGCAGAACAGGATAAAGTTCAGAATAATAGTCCCTAAAATAATTTTAATCTGCATGACAATACTATAGAAATGATATTCAACTATAATGCTATTGAGAAAGCAAGGAAAGAAGCAGGAATAATGATTGAATTCCAATATTGGCTTCCCAACAAAATTAATTGCATCAAATTAAAAAGAAAAAAACTGCAGTTAATTCCTGGAGTGTTGAAAAACTCCAGCATTTTAATGTTCTGAAATAAAGGTTTGCTTCCCCAGGATAAAAGATGTGAATAAGAAAAAATAAATGAAACTAGGCAAGCATTGTATTGCCTTACCAAACTTGTCAGTTCTCAACTATTGAATATACCACTCAGCATTTGGGAACAGAATGGCTTTGTTAAGTTTCTAAGCCTTCCTAATTATGCACATTTGAGAGTGCAGAATTCTTTCATTTCAGACAGCTTATATTATCTGATGTAGTTCTTTCAAAACTACTCAGAAGCATCATCTGCCAGGATCAAAAGTAATTGAACTGATATCTACCGGATGCAGCTTTACTGTGTAATTTTTCATTTTCTTGAGAAGGCTTTTAACAGACAGAACATGACTACAGTCCCACAGAGGTATTTTGACATTAGACTTAATAAAGCATGAAGAACTCATTAATAAATAATGTTCTTCTAGGTTAACAAATAAAATGAACGCCTGTGTTGAGTCCAGGAGAAAACTGTAACAAGAATGTGGCCAAATGATTGATTAAAAAGGCTGCAACAACTCTTTTGCTGCCATACCTGACACAACCCAACATAACACTGCATAATCTAAGGGGGGGGGGAAATCATCCCCAAAGTCCATGTGTACTTGAATCAGTGTA